TGAAACAGTGCTTTGGCAGAATGTGCTTGCAAGGACATTGCATCGTAATAGGATAAACTCTCAGTTTAATAGAATAATGGGGTGGAAGGGGTGTCTGTTATAGCTGAATTATGTTTCTTCAGCCCAGAAACACACTATTTCATGAGAAAGATGTACATGCATACATACTGCATATTGACTCAATCCTCTGACTTATATTTCAACAATTGCAATCAACACAGTCAATGAAAATTGTACCTGTGCCTTTTATCATAAATATACAAGCTCTTTATTTTTTTTATTTTTAAAAATACTGTATAAAATTCTCATTGTTTTATTGTTTTCATCGTTCTTGCCGGAAAACCTCAGTATTATGTCTGATTTTACAGACATAATTCCATTTAGCAGATTTTGTCCATTAAATTCGAATCCTGTTGAAGCGAAGTCTGTGAAGCGGCTTGTTTACTTTGCCTTGTTTCCCCGCCAGCGCTGATTTAGAGCTGGTCTGAAGCAGGGCTTCCTGAGCTTGGTGGAAGAACTGTTACAAGACAGAAATAAGATAAATTGACAAATGACATATAATTCTATTTTGCTGTCTTGTTTCTGTTTTCATTCCGGTGTCATATTTATAGGTGCTTCCTCAGTTTTAACATGGAATGTGTTGTTACATTCTTAATTCTTCTATTATTAATCATATCTTGTTACGTTTCATTCTTGAATGTAGTCAAGTTGTTTGACGGGTGTTTGTAAAATAGAGCAGGTATGCCGAGGGGCAGTTTTCCAGGGAGGCCCTGCCTGTGTTTTGCCTCACTCTGCTGTCTGTTTCTAGTCCCCTCACCAGCCTTCAGGGGTAACAGAAGGGTTACAAACGGGACAATGTCATCCAGCCCATCTAGCCCGTTGGCTAGTGAGTGGCTCAATGATCCAACGTATTCAGTATTTGGCTAGGTAGCACTTCCCACGCACCTGCCACTCTGGGTACAGAGGTGCCTCCTGTTCTCAGCTTTCGATTAACTTCTGATTCTTGTTTTCCTGTTCCCTATGAAGATGTCTGCTTGGCTGACTTTGTATACTTCTATACAAATATTTTCAAAGATCTTCTTGCAGTGTTCTCTTGATTTAAATTCTATGCTGTTAACTATATATAGTAACATATATATTTGCTTACCTTTCTCTTTACTTTCCCATGTTTCTAGAAAATGTAAATGATACGTTCTAAAAACCTAAGCCTTTTTAGAAAGTAGTCTATTTTAGCTCAGTGTTTAAGATTTTGGATTTGTAGATTAGTTTTCCGACCTTCATGCAAAACCCTGAACTTGTCAACATTATACCTCAACTGGCATGTTTTCCTAGTCTTGAATATTATTTTGATCTTTCTGAATTTGATTTGCTGCTTCTACGGTTTGCTAAGCCTCATGCACTTTTTTTCATCTGCAAACTCGGTTTACTAACAGTACCAGGATTTAGTTCATTTATATAAATTTGGAAAAGCAGTGGCCCTAGTACAGATCCCTGTTGTACTCCGCTGACTACATTACCCCACTTTGAATATCTGTGTTCTGTTTATAAACGAGGTATCAATCCTTAAAACCAATTTGCATATTGATTTATCTTCTTGTTTGTTCAAAAAATCCTAACAAACTGGTTAAGCAGGACCTCCTTCTTTCTAAATCCATGTTGACTGTACTTTAGTAGCTGATTTCCATAAGTTCATCTAATTTATATGTAATAATTGTTTCTAACCTTCCATGTAATAGAAATCATACTCTTTGGTTTATAATTATTGGTTCAATTTTTCACTTATTTATGAGCACCACATTAACAGTACCCCATTTGGAGTGACTTTTGTGACAGTGAATTACTGTATGTATTGCATCTCTTGTTTGCTTGAGTGCAATTGGTAGGATATTTATGTTGAATGTTTCTAGTGCCTTAAACATTTCTTGCCTCTTGTAAATAATACTATTTAATACTAGACTTTAGCCTTCTTCTGCCTGAGACGGGTTGCTGATTTTCTTCTGTGTTGAAAGAAGACATTACATGAAGTTCAGTGTGTGTGAACTTACAAATTGGGATTCAGCAAAATTACATGTTTACCTCCAGCCTCAGAAAACAGTTGTCTCAGTGTCACCACACCCTCTGTTTCATCCAGCCCTTTGAGGTGTATCATGCTACTTTTTTTCTGTCAGTACCTCTCCATTTGTTTGGACTGAAGCGTAACCAGGATCTGTGATGCAAACAGTCCAGACTAGCACCTAAAAATAAAGTTATTGCATGTTGTCATGTGTTTTCCTTGGATCTTAGTCATCTTGGAGGTATTTGCTTTTGTAACAAGAAAGGTAATACTCTGTTGTATGTGTTTGTATTACTGAGCAAGAGTGGTTAAAGCAACACTTAAGGTTTATAGTTTCTAATGAGAGGTTATAATTTTGATCATAAAAACTTGTTTTCCTGTGTTATGTAAGTTTATTGCACTTAAATTTTATTTAACTGGCTGAGAAGGTTCCTATCAGTTAGGAAATGCTGAAGTATTATTTTGTTTATATACCTGCTGATTGTAAAACAGGTAAAGCTTTGTTTTTGAATCTTTGAACACCTTAAGGAAAAGCAGTATGAAGTCTTGGGGAATTTTATTCACTTGTTTTGCATTTTAATATTTTTATTACTGCATTTTGTCAGACAGGGTCCACACATCTTTAATCTTTGTCCATGAGGGAATGATGCTTAAGTGTTCTAGAACTGTATGTTCAAAAAACTGAAAACTGTGGCAGTGAGTTTAATGTTTTTTTCCTCTCCACAACTTTTTGAAGTTGCTAAAAAAAGTGATCTAGTGCTAAAAAAGGTGGTCTAGTGTGGTGATACACAGGTATGGTAGAGCAGTAGAAAAGCGTTATGCACACGGGGTAATGCAATTAGTGAAAACTACAGAGGACAAAATGCACTAAGTTGCCATCCAAACTTTCTCCAATTAACTTTTAGGTTCAAGGTATTTCAAGGTATAATGCAAGAATTCCAGTCTTTTGTGCTCCACAGGAGGTGATATAGTATGATCACAGTCTCTTATAAGGTGGCAAATGTCTATATTTCAAAGCAGAATGCCCAGTTATGATGGATCTTAACTTTGTGACCTACATCTTTTGTTTTGACTTGAAACTCTGTTTCTCCTCGATCCAAGAAGGGATTCTGTATCTTTGCAATGGCGCACAGCCGATTAAGGTCCCAGTGGCAGAAGAGCTTGTAAAAGCCTGCATGCATTGAAACAACAAAGGGCTCCAGAGAAGCAGTGATGTGGAACGGGAGATCAGTGAAATCTCTTTGTGTGCTGCTACTTGCAGGTGTAAACTCTGACGAAGCACAAAGCTTACTTTCCTTTACACGAACATGGTGAAAGTTACCTACAGATAAGAATGGTCAGGCTGCAAATTGGGAGTTTAACTGCTTTATGAGTCCTCATTCGCCTTACTGACTTTTTTTTACTTTACAGTATTTCTGGAAAAATACTGAAAATGTGTGAGCCTGATTTTGCAATGTTTCATTCACCTGCATTGCTTAATGTAACTGTGCAGAATGCTATCGTCAGATTTCGAAATTGAGATTTGGAAATGTAAAAGGTAGCTTTAAGTATCACGATAGTTTGCGTCAATCTTAATCTTCCATTACCTTTTTTGAAATGTACTTCATTTTATTTTAATAAGGATATATCATAATACTTAATAAACATTGAAATAGAGCATCTGTTATGGATGTTGAATGTTTTTTGTTCTGGATAAAGTTAGGCAGTTATTAATACAGAAATTGGATAATATTTCTGTCTGAATGTAGCCAGTGGTTTTGCAGAAGCACCGCTGCCTTATCAATTTTTGTTCTTTAGATCCAATGTCTTTTTACATAGAAGCTTTTTAAACCCACTGACTTCCACTTGCAGACCACTTAAATTGACCCATGCTTGATCATTGCTGTCAAACTTTGAGAATGATCTTTGGAGCTACAGCTCTACAGCTGCAATGTTAATGCTGACAACAGCCTGAAAGTGAAGGACACTGTAATTGGCCATGGAGACATGTAATAAATGGTAAGAGATTTACGGTTAGAATTTCTGGGAGAAGAAAGCACAGTATCACCCCTTGCTCGTAAGGCGTGGAGGTGTGTGGCAGGAAAAGCGTTGCGGTCAGATTGGTGTGCAGTGCCGGAGCCCCGCTGTGGAATGGCCAGCGGCTGGCCTTTTTGTCCTTCAGGGGAGGTCAGGGATTCTGACAAAGAGCCGTTTGGGCTGCAGGCTGACTGGACTCTTTTTATCGCCCTGCCCCTCCTTCTTCATTAACCCCTGGCTTGTTCCCGTTGAGATCCTCGAAAGCATCCAGACAGATAGTTTGTCTCCAAGAGGTCTGGCACCAGCCAACCTGCGAAGATCCCAGTCTGGTGTCTACCAGTCTGGACATTCCAGAATGACACATTGAGGGAAGCACAAGGCTACGAATGAACAAAACAGGATCAAGCCCTTGGACGTTCTTGGGTTTCTGAAGGTCAGCCCAAGTTCAGAAACACATCGGCATGTCTCCGGCAGATTGCAGAGATTTTTCAGGAGCGCCGTCTCTTGGCTGCATCTTGGAATTTGCCTTTTCTGAGAAAAACTGGAACTCTAATAATTCTTCTTAACCTCGCCATTGACGCAACAAAAGCCAGCTCACTAGCCTGGAAATAATGAGTTTGAAATGTACTGAAACTACAGAAGCTGCCTTTTGGGGGGGGGGGGATATATATCTGATGGTAAAAAAAGTCCAACATCTGGAATAAGAATGAGCAAAAAAATGCAAGGTGTGGCAACTGGAGAGTGCTGTGTCTAAAAACACGCACAAGGTGCACAGAATGTAGGCATTATTAATGAGATTGTCTGTTGAAATTCTTTTCTTTGCTTATCAACCAATATGGGTCTGATGTGCATGCAGAGCTCAGGCTTTTTCCTCGTGTTTGCTGAACATTTCTGTTGGCGGGACTGTGCTCATGTGTGATGTCCTTCACAGCTGTCCGGAGTAGCGGGGAAGGAAGACGCGCGGCCCAGCCGTGTGAGCGGAGACAGCGGCGCAGAGCCCGCGCAGGGTGAGGACCAGCCGAAGAGCATCCCACCCGCTAGCGGGTCACCCCAGACCCCGGCGGCCCCGGGGCGGGGAGAGGGAGCCCAGCGCCCCAGCGACACCGTGGCAGCCCAGCTGCTGCAGCAGAAGGTCCTGGAGCAGATCCCAGTCCAGCAGAGGATCCTTCTGGGGGGGCCGGGGATCAGGTACTCGTCCCACAGTGAGAGCAGGAGGGGAGAGAGTGCCCCCAAGTCTCCCAGTCCCACCTACCCACGCACAGTGCACACCAGCACACACCCCACCACCAAGAAGGACTGACTGTCTATGTGCAGGAGGTTCAGTCCTCTGAAGGAGCAGCCTGTCTTAGAGAGAGTTAGCTGCGTTTTCTCTGATCTATCCCCAAGGCTTATCCAGCTAAGAGCGCCCACGTCTATGTTCAATCTGTCCATGTCCTGCTTCTTGCAGCTCAATGTTTTTAGCTTCATTTTGGATACCAGGTGCCTGTGTGATCTGTCGTACTGTGAGTAGGGACAGAGACTCTGCGAAAACGAAAGGTCTGTGTTTAGAAGAGCGCGTACCGTATGTGTCACAGTTTATAGTGCAGCTGTAGGTTTTCAGTCATCTGTATGTCGTCTGATGGCAATGGTTATGTTATCATAAGCCTTCAAAACAGGATAGAAAAAGCCATGGGAAGTGGGAGTGGGTATTAAGAGTGGCAGGGAGCAGGAGGAACAATATTTAGAAGGCTTTAGAAATATGAGGACAGAGCCACCTTGTCATGATTTACTGGAGTATAGGGAAAAGCTGAATTCTTTGGAGTATGGAAAAGAGAGTGGGGATAAATAGAAGAGCTCTAAAAATCAGTAGAAATATATTTAAATAGCTATAGGTTCTATGGATTTTTGTCAGTTTGACACCTCTTTATGGCAGTCTGTCCTAGATATTTTTGTAGATTAAAAATGTATGCTGAGAGAAATGCTGTGAACTCTGTGCTTAACATTAATATTTAAATGTCATTGTTAGTAATACCATCACTGCAAGTGTTTACATTAATATCCAGTTTTCTTTTGAATTCGTGGTGTTTTTCAGACTTTCAAGTGTGAGCTTTCCAGATATTAGCATGTTTGCGTTTAATGCAGGTACAGAAGAACTGTGCACCATTAGTGTACAGTACAACAACATGACAGTGTGTCCCATACCCACTTCCCCTGACGCGATCAGTCTTACAAAAACGGATATTCTCTGTTTAAAAACCTTTGTGGATGGCTCAGTGGGGAGAGGAGACATAATTAAATAGACTCAAGTGAGTTTATCTTTGCAAGAAAGAGTTTGTAGCAAACCTATCATATACAGTGTAGAAACTCTTGCCTTGCAAGAACAGTGTGAATTGGGTCATTACCTTAAAACGCCAGGCAGCCTCTCACATGGACAGACAGTGTCTCCAGGAGAATCCTGATATCTTGATTATAACATTCCTTCACAGAACACTGACAGTGACAGTCCTGGGGCTCACATTACATCCCATACCAAGAGACCCAGGGCTTCACAACTCCAGCATGACCTAACCTTGCGTGCCCACAGGTTGAGCAGGTGTGGGATATTCTCGAGAGTTCCCTGTGGAATTGTCACAATAACACCACTTCCCATGACTCTGTTAGAGGGTTTTGTGTTGGGAATAGGCCACAATCTCACAGATCAGCACTGTGTCTTCAAGTCGCTGCCTTGCATCAGATCATGTATGGCATCAGGCAGTATTGACCATCCCCTTAGTTTCTCTAGTCTGGTGTGTGTTCACTGGAAAGTACTTTTGCCAAATTGATTTGCTGTTTCCAGTCTCTGTATTTTTAAATGAAATGTATTTCATTTCAAGCAGTTAATTTAATGTAATAAGCAGTGTTGTGAAATAAGAGTGTTTTTCAGCACATTAATTGCTACAGATGGTCTTTTTTGTTGTTTTTGTTACAAGCCACAATTAAATTTATTTTCCCTACAAAGTGAAAATGTTATGAACAGATATCTAATCAAAGATTAAATGTAAGTTTTCTCAAGCACTGTACTTGTGGTACTGCTTTAAAGTTCAACTTTTACTCAGAAAACATGATAAAATATTGAACGTAATATACATACACTAAGCATTTTCAGTACTGAATATTTGTGAATCAGATGTACTAGTAAATCCTTTCCTTTTCTGCTCATTCGTATTGCTTTGCTTTATGAGACTGAATATGCTCAATGCAATTAATTATATTTTACAGCAACATTCCTCTTTAATCATTCAATCTATGCTTAATCCTTCCATGGTCTCTACTGCTGACTTTGTGTAAGAACTCGGTAATAAGATGTTGGAAAATTGTCAGCTTTTTTCTGCAAGTCCTGATTATTTTCACATGTCCAACTCGCCCTGTGTGCTGATGGAGATCCCACCCACCCATCTTTTTTTAACTGTGTAACAGTTGTCAGAGGAAAACCACCCAAGGACAGCAAGAAATTAGGACACCAGAAACATTTTTAGAACACTCTTTCTGGAACAGGTGGTGAGTGCAATTCTTAATAACAAAAATAAATAAAAATATTTAACATTTCTTACTTGATTCACAATGTTTCTTGACAATTGTAAGCTAAAAAGTCGAGTCTGGGAAATTGTGTGCTTTTGAACACAATTTTGTGTATAAGAAGCATTGTACTGGCAAAATTGTACCATACACAAGGTTTAATTTCCGAAGGATTATTTATCCAGCGTTCATTACAGAGGTGTACTTGTAAATGTCTCCTTATGACAAATTTAGAGGTGTTCAGAATGTCTTATTTGCATTCTGAAAGTATAGTTCATATTCAATTTTGTGTGAAAGTCAATTAGTGTCTTAATTCGATTTGCAGTTTAATTTTAGTGTAATAAACCTTTGTTCAAAATAAGCCCATTCTTTTATTTTGTGAAATCATATATTTCTTATGCAAGATTCAGATTATTTTAAGATCAGCTTTGCTACTGCCAAACTGAGATATGCTATTCAGCTATGGTGTTTAAAAAAAGTCAAGTAATAATTCTTATAATTATCACAGCCTTTGAATTTAGAACTTTTCTAAACGGACTGAGATCTTAAAGCAGATTTGGAAATTGAAAGGGATATTATGTTTAAACATGAATTGGTTCTTTCATCTAGAACGTGATTATTAGCCCCACGGTAACTTTATTGCAGTATTAAAACCTTTATTTTGCATTTCCTGTAACAGAATTTACAAAGCTTCTCAGTGTTAATGTTCCTTTTATGTTCTGATGTGTAGCCTAAGGAAATACTCCTTACATTATATCTAAACTCCAGCAATAAACCTTTAGAAAGCCTCTCCATTTCAAGCGTGCTTTATTTTTTCAACTACTGGCAATTGGGGTGGGAGGGGATAGAGTGTCAGCAGTCTGTTTTCTTAAGATTTCCAGCATGTGCAGACAAAATAAACTACCCATTTAGGAAGAAATTAAAAAAATATATAAAAATCACATTCAGAAAAGTTGCCCAGAGCACCACTGACTGGATGATTCATCCAGAGTTTTTCTGGGGAAGGAACACAGGGCTGCTTGTTTCCGTGCCAACCAGGCTGTGCTCATTATGGAGACCTGGCATTAAAAAAGGACAAAATCTGCTTTCCGTTTTGGGGAATAAGGGAAAAACATTAACCGATTAAACCTGTGCATATAAGCAACACTAGTAGGTCAGTTTTATTGTTTAACAGTGTTTATGGTTGACTTTCTCCACTTTTCTCTAGACTAGTATGTTGTTTTTTTCCGTATCCAAGCCAAGACAAAAATATCAATTCAGACTCTCCAACGCATAATGTCTTGAATGTATGTGAACATTCAACATGCATTTGGGGAAACATTTTTCTCCCAGAATTTCCGAATTGATGAGTCAATCTAGCTCTGTAAAATAGTTTTAGAAGGCTAGCTTCCCACCTCTCTACTTTTTAATGACCTAGTCCTGAAGAGGCTGAGAGCTCTCTGCATACTGGTGTGTGAGGTTTCTTTCCGTTGGCAGGCAGGTTTTATCACCACCGCAGTGGCAGCCCTAGCTTTAGAAAAGCACTGAAGGAAATAACCTCTCTGACTGAAGCACCTGAAACTGCCCCCACAGGACCCCACAGTCACACCCCCTTGGAAACAGCAACGCAGAGGAGGCTATCCTGCACTCTTCTGGAATGGGCCTTTGAACTGCAGGGAGATAAATATTAGCCATTTCTTCCTACTGGGGGGTTTCAAAGAGCAGCTAGACGTCGGTCCCAGAGGGGACGTGCTCTGGGATCAGGTGTGCTGCTCCACATGTGGTTTCACGGTTTTGTGGGGGGAAGAATCCCCAACGTCTTCTGCACATAATGTGAACTTTGTCAAACCAGTGGAGCAGGTGACACAGCAGCACAAGGTGCCTGTTTGTGCTGGTCAGGAGCAGGGAGCTGTGGAAACCCTAGTAAATGTCTGAAGAGGGGTTTTGCTTGTAAATATTGTAAACGTGTCAGAAAGACATGGAAAAAAAAGCATACAATACAATATAAAAGCAAGATTATCATTTTTTATTTTGTAGTTGATCACCTGCACAAAATAGAATTATATTCAATTGTTTAATTTATTCATATTTACATATTTTCACATTATTTCAAAATGTTCATACAATTTTGACAAACTGCACATCAAGAATTAAATCTCAGATGAAGTCCTTTAACCTCCTTTACTGAACAAATCCACAAAAGTGCTTACTTTCAATATTACTTTGCAAAACATTCAGCAGACTTATTGGCCTATATTTTATTTAGAGTTTCTACTTCAAGGATCTTGATAGTTTACAGGCATCATTATTGTTAATTTAAGCTGAAAACTGAGAATGACTCTTTTTAAAAAAAGAAGTACTTGAAACGTACAAAGCGCAACGCAGACATCAGAAGATTCTTTGCAAACATCTCACTGGATGCAAATCCCAGATCTTCCAGGTATTGCGAAACAGACATGAACCAATACGCTAGCAAGCCATTATAAAATGTATTTCAGGAAAGCACAGAGGGCTCTTAGTACCACCAGTGTAGACAAACGGGAGCAGATTGTGAATACAAATATAACCTGACCGGAGGTTCTAAAAAAAGGACAAGCAGATGTGAACTGGCTGGTGGAACAGTAGCATGACAGTTGTTGCTATCGGTTCTGCTCTTGGGTCCCGGGTTTGATTCTACACTGGCGCACTATCTCTGTGGAGTTTCCTTGTTCCCCACACATTTGCCTTGCTTGTTGTTGAGACATGCAGAAGAGGATTAGGTGATGAGTGTGTGCGTGTGTACCCCCTGTGAGGGACTGCCACCCTTTCAGGGTGAAATCCCGACTGGCTCTCTGTGCTTCCTGGAAAGGCTACAGGTTAAATGGCAGTCTCCCGATAAGGAAGGGAATTCAACCCAGGAAGAAAAAAATGAGTAGCCATTAGACATAAAGAAGAAAATGTTGCCACAAGCCATACTATTTCAGAAAAGAACACATTGAAATGATTATATATAATGACAAAATAGTTTGGGGCATTTTTGCACAAGTGATGTCAGTCATACACCCAGCATTGATGCTTTGCACTGTAAATCATAAATAGTGGCAAAAGTAATCTTCCTTTATCTGCACCACACCGCTCTCCAGCTGTGTGTTAGCTTTTCTGGGTCACTCAAATACAGGACAGCTCCACCTGGATTAGCCAGTTGCTAATTCTTCTCTCAATCTCAGACCTCTTCCCTACAGCTCTCCAGGAGTCCAAGTCCTGACCTGAACTTTGATGTCGTTTGCGCTTCACAGCATCTGCTTGCACATGACAGAAGTGCAGCTCCTCGGGATACATACAAGCTTTGCGATTTAAGCATTTAAAAACCAATCACCTGGAGTGATTCAAATCTAACGTTTCGAACTTAAATGCCGCTTTTTGTATTTGCTATGCAGATTACAGTAGAAATGTTTTTCGAAGCTGAAACGTGTGCTCTGGCCCCCTTTTCCGATGCAGTCAGTCTGCTGCTGCTGCGGCACTTTATGCCACTCGACAACCGCCAAGGGAGTCCGGGCTCCCTGGGAAATCCTTAAAGGATTACTCTTGATTAAAACCCACCTTCCCACTGAGCTGGTGCAAGCCCAGGAATCCCAGCAAGCCTGCCTTTTAAATATTTCCTCCCAGCACTCCATAACGTGAACTGGAGAGCCTTCTCGTCGCGTGCCGAGGGCGGAGGAGTAACTTGGGCCCCGTGTGTCGTCTGGGTATCTTCCACTTCCTCTCCGTGCACCGCGGCTCTCAGAGGGAGTCGGTCCGTTTCCTGGCGAACACCGCAGACATGCTCTTGACGATGCTCTTGATCCCGGCCGGCTTCTTCAAGGACGTCTTGGCCTCGCGGATCCGCTCCACGAGCCCGTGGAACACCAGCAGCACGCTGTGGTAGTTCTCGGCGGCGGACACCTCATAGAAGGCGCAGTCTGTGGACAGCGCCAGCAGCCGGCCCTCCTCGCTGGACACCGTCCTGCGGTGGTGCAGGTCTCTCTTGTTGCCCACGATCACGATAGGCACCTTCTCCACCCCCAGGTAATCCTTCTGCGCCTTGATGCTCTGCACCTGCTTGGAGACGCTGTTGAAGCTGGCCCTGTCGCAGATGCTGTAGACCAGCACAAACCCGTCCGCCCAGTGAATTCTCTTCTCACACGCGGAGCTCTCGCTCAGGAGTTCCTAGTGTGGCAGGAGGGGGGGGGAGGACACAGAGGTTTCAGTCTGGTCTCAGAGCCAAGTTTCCAGAATGAATATCTTCCACTATGAAATGCAATCAGTTTTCTTAAGCGAAGAGCTGGAAGTGTTTTAAAGACTGGGGATTTATTAGACTTAAGAGCACTTAGGATCACTCTGGGATTCAATGATATGAGCTGGTTATGGTTCTGTCTCTAATGACTGACAAAATGGGGTTTAAATAAATACTGGAAAAAGAAACTCTGAAACACCCAGCAAAACACACTCTTTATTACAGCCCAGGACACACAAAGTTCCCATTACCAAGCTCAAAAGTAGACTGTTTCTAACTTGGTACTCCGAGAGTTCTAGTCAATTCAGAAAACAACCACCTCAGCTTCAGGCTAATCAATACGTTTGCACACGGACTGATTTTGGAGCAACTCATTTTTCAGCAGTAAACCATAGATCCAGTTTTACACTGCAGCAGGAACAATGGCTATATGAAAGCACACAGCTACTGTATATGGCACATCTGATAAACATAAGTACGTACATTTTCTATTGAGCTATGTTTTTTGTTTATTTAATGTTCTTCACGTATTTTACTGTATGTATAAAAACAAAACAGTGAAAATAAAATTCAAAATTCCAGTGATGTATTTTTACAGTTATTTTTCCGTCAGAAATACATGTAGAAGATCTCTACAAATGTTTTAATCATTTTTTCCCCTTACACATACAGTACCTGTGAATAAGGAGAATCCCAGATATTGAAAGAAATCTCTCTGCCGTCTACGATAACATTATGGCTGTAAATTGATTCTGGGGGGAAAAAAGTAAATAAAGATTATTGTTTAAAGACTACAGTAACAACACCATTTCATGCCAATGCAGTATAAAAAGTAACTCCGATCTTTCCAAAACGATCGCATCTATTCTGCGTCAAAACTATTCTGTTTCGCAACTAGACTACTGGCTCACTGCGGTTGTACTGGACCTCAAAACCGGGACTACACTTAGAGGTGCAGCCATGAAAGTAACATTTCATTACATACAGTATAGAGGCTTTGCATCCTAAAAATATAGACTATGAAGCCTATCCTATGGAAACAAAGCCTATAAGAAACTATAAGAGGTATAAGACTCTTTAATTTAGAGCAAAGCATTTTTTATGTAAGGCACTGTATCAGATAAAGGCGAAATTACCGATATCTCCGTACTCCCCGATGAATCTGCGCGTTAGAAAGCGGACTGTCAGAGCTGCAACGGGACAAAAAAAGAGCTTAATTATTTACCAGACATTACTTAATGATAAACCAACAGTACAAGTAGGTAACGTGGATCAGCTAACCCAGAGGTGGCAATTAGGTTCCTATTGTTTTCAGACCTGCAACCACACACTAAGGGATAAAGATTATATTTCTTGAACTGCCTACAAATAAGTGCACATGATTAATTAATTATTTTGATTATCTTAACTTACCAGATTTCCCAACGTTATCTGTCCCTAAAACCACTACGTTCGTATCCATCTTTAAAGCATGAAGTCCGGTCATGTCTGGTGTGAGCCTAGATCCCGAAAAGTTTGCTTTGGAGGGAGACAGGCTTAGAACCATTTGCAAACTTAAGTTTTTATTACCCGATAAACTTAATCAATTACAACCCACGCTGCCACTTCTGAGACCGACTGCAGCGACTGGTGTATAAGAGCACCCTTAGGAATGTGCCACTATCGGGTACAGACGGGGGGTGAGTTTCTAAGTATAGCTCCAAACCTCTAGAGAAATTCAAGAAAAGGCAAAATTCTTAAAACCTATATATCTATAATTAAGATATTGATATTATACATCAAAGCTGAATGGCACTGTTCTATTTCTTCAGCATGTTTTAAACACAGAATGGTATCTCCCAAAGGCCTGAAAACACTTGCCCCATGTGCTCTGTATATGCAGATACAGAAGGTGAGGACGAGGGAGGTGTTGACAGAAACTGGCAAAACAGAAAAACATTCATCTCATTTCTGGAACTCCGTGTGCTGTGAAGGGAATTTGAACCCCTAATATACAATAACGCGCACACAAAAAACAAATAATGATGATAGTTAAATTCAACTATTGCATTTTTTTTTTACTTTTAGGATGATACGAGCTGCTTACCAGAATTATTTCCACCTAGATCCTAATTCCACTCAGTGAAGATATCAATACACAAGAATTGAATTCGAGAATACTACTATTCTAATACGATAAGGCAGTTCTATCTAAATAACGTTTACTCGCAAACACCTATTTATAGGACCTCGTGTTTTCGAGTAAGGTTATCGTGCTTTCGCTTCAGAAAAACGAAGGAAAATGTTGAAGTTTCGTCCTGTTCAGGTGCAAAATAAACATACCACTAGGCGGCAATATGAGCATAAGAACCTTATCAAGAAAACCGATCTTAAAACGTATTTGTGGGTCCTGACGTCATCTATAAATTATTGCTTGATACTGTGATAAAGGGAAAATAAAATGTAGCAAAACGGTGAAATGGTGATTCGCTAATGCACTACTGTGAATGATCAAACAAATCACAGAGAGGTCTAGTACGTAAAGAAAGTCGGAAAACAGTCAAAATTAGAACTAAAAATTAGTCCATGATACAATTATGGAAAAACTAGGAAAACTGGATACAATTTCCAAAAACTACACAATTTGCCAGCATTTGAAGAAAGATGTTTAGTTACTGCACAAAGCTAATTACAGCAATGAGAGTGAGAAGTAATTTTCTTTTCAAGGAAGTGTAGTGAAAACGCCAGAGATAATCCATTGCGTTATTTTATGTACAATATCATCCACCCGTTTTTGAAGCTGCTTTATCCAGTACAGAAATGTGGGGGTAATCAGAGCCTAACCTGGCCAGAAACAGGCACAAGGCAGGGTATTGCCCTGGACAGGACAGCAGTCCATCGCAGGGAAACACACTCACTCACACCAGAGACGGTTGTTACACATGCCAATTAACCTACCAGCATGTTTTTGGACTGTGGACTCAGGACACACAGAATATGAAGATTAACATAATGTGTAGATGGAAACAAAGTATTTACTGTATACTTTATTTGAGCAACTTAGTACACGTTTCTCCTCTCACATGGTACAAGACAATGGAAAGAGAAGCACTTGTAAACCTTGGAAATCCCGAAGGGAAATCGATGTGTTACAGAAGCCCAAGACAAGCAAAAAAACAGACATTAGAATAGATGAAAAATTAAAATATGTACAGTAATACAGGATAAATATAAAATAAATAAAAATAAATACATAGGTGTGTGCAAAATATGATCATAGTCACTGTAAAAACAATAAAATATGTGCAAAATGTGCATAGATATATATATAGATTGAGTGTCCAAAAAAAGTACAATGGAGCAACATTCTGTCCATAGACGAGCAAATGAAGGGCTAACAGTCCTAGCCTAGGGCAGTGTTATACACCCTGATAGCCACCGGGAGGAAAGACCTGCGGAAACGTTCCCTTGAACACTGATTCATAAAAAATGTGTAGCAGTGTTCCACACACACCAAAGGACCTGAGCCTTCTAAGAAAATAGAGTCGGCTCTGACCTTTCTTGTACAGGGCGTCAGTGTTACCAGACCACTCCAGTTTATCATCCAGGTGTACCCCTAAATACTTGTAGGACTGCACCCCCTCTACAGTATGTCCTCACCCTGGATAGAAACAGGGTTCAGCGGAGACTTATTCCTTAGAAAGTCCATGACCATTTCTTTGGTCTTGCTGGTGTTAAGCTGGAGATGGTTAAGATGACACCACTCCACAAAGTTGGTAATCAAGCTCCTATATTCCTCCTCCCTCCCCTCTCTAATACACCCCACAGTTGCAGAGTCATCCAAAAATTTCTGCAGGTGACATACCTCAGAGTTGTACCTGAAGTCAGAGGTGTAAAAGGTGAACAGAAATGGAGTAAGGACAGTCCCCTGTGGAGCCCCAGTACTGCTAACAACCTGTTGGACACACAGCTCTATAGCCGTAGATACTGTGGCCTGCAGGTCAGATAGTCTATAGTCCAGGACACCAGGGGAGTGTCCACCTGCACCACCCTTAGCTTATCTCTCAGTAAAGGTGGATGGATGGTGTTAAAGGCACTGGAGAAGTCAAAGAACATAACTCTCACAATGCTCAATGCACAATTTATGGTCTGGCCAAGCTAAAAATGTGCTGATTTAGGATATTAAGTGCCTTTTCAGGACCAGGATTGGAGACCTCCAGTATGTGTACCAGGGTTGAGTACCTCTGATTTAATTAAACCAAATGAGACACATTGCTGTCAAATGCCAAATAATGCATTACTCCCGTATTTCAGTGCTGCATCGATGCTTATCTTTGCGGTGTTGGAACAGGATTTCTGAAGAAGGGTTTTGCAGCAGTAAGGAAGGCTGCAGTTAGGAGGCGAGCTCACTTCCAAAAATGAAATGATGTGGAAATTGTAGGGCTGAAACAAGTTGTATTATATAACCCTTCTGCACGCGGATACTGATATGATCACTTCACAGTACTGGGATCCCAAGATGAAAGAAGGGGGCCAGTCATGCACTTATTCTGCTTTTGGTAGCTTGGTGGAAGCCTGTTTAGTGTCCCTTTTACTGCAGGCAGTCCCTCCTAGACTCCAGTTTTACAGCAGATGGTGTGGATTGAGCCCATTAGGTATCCAAGCTCAAGAGTTTTCAGCTTCCCTGTCTGCTTCTCTGGGAGGACAGGAGCCGGCTGGAGACAAACACGGCCTCCCAGGAGGAGCCCAGGCTCCTCTCTCAGGCTGTCCTCACCATTGTGCCAGACCTGTGAAAGACAGGGGCAGGCCCTCTTTAAGTCACCTAACGCAGGCCATGTGGCCTTTACAAAGAGGCAGCAAAAAGTAGATATTTTCTGTTTGATCCCATAGAAAGGATGAGGGTTAATAGAGCTATCAGTGGATGCAAGAAATACTCTCATCTCGGTTATTATTGCTCAAGCATGTCTCCCTAGAGAAATGCCATTTTAGCATATATTAGACCTTTTTATTTAATTTTTAAAGAACTTCACCTGTGAGATATTTTCATATATAGGGAAAATCCTATCTTTCCGACATCTCAGAATTGCAGTTCCAAATTAAATCATACAAAGTGTATTAAGTCTCTATAGGGAGCTTGATGTGTTTAATCAGCCTTGAAAAGCGAGACCTGAGTGGAGTTTCTGCCACACGTAGTCCTGGGAAATCCTTGTACACGGTAGGTGGGCTTGTGTTCAGCAGCATGAGAGCACTGGGGATGCCAGGAGGAAGGGCAGCAGATGGGAAAGGCACAGAAGGGTGGATTTTATCGTCATGCAACGACTGCTAAAATACTCAAGGGTTGTGCATTCCAGGAACGAACACCTGTTTGTTTGGGAAATCTCAAATCCTCATTCGGTGGCCTTGGCAGAGACACAGCCAGCCACAGAATTTGACAACAAAGCCTATATTCTGTCTTTTTATATATCAATTACTTACAATGGGTGTGACCAACATGACACCAGTGGGTTTTGCACAGATGATTTCAAATGTTAAAAGTCTTAAGTCTTGTAGTCTTGTATTGTGGATTGTGTTAATCTTACTGTATTTTACTGGGTGTTAATTTTACTGTAATCCAGCAAGGATTAACACCCATTTAAAAACAATTACACAAGAATGATTTGTTGTCTTTTCACTTACATTCATTGCATAAAAGAATTATCCATCCAGAATGGGGAGAACCTTTCCGTCTCATCAGGAGTGGCGAAGGCAGGGACAGCACTACTGGGACAGCAGAGATATGCATGACACTGTCTCAAGACCAAGTGAGGACACGGCCCCTTATAATTTGCAGAATCTTTGAGGTGAAGCAAGTTTAGATCAAGGGCTCCATTTTCACATTTATATTGAGTTTTGTCTGAGTTTATTTTATTCAGTTTCTATTGCACTATTATGTATTATTGTGTAACCTCATTTTGTCACTTTAATTTTGTGATTTTTATCGCCCCCCATTGAGCTCGTGGAAAAGACATTTCATTGCCAGCAACTACTGCTGCACACTGTATTGTTGTGTATTTGATAAATAAACTTTGATTGATTGATTGACATGTTTTCTGCGAATAAAAAGTAAAATAACACTCTCAGACAAAACAGCAAACACATGCTGTGTTTCTCCCCCAAAACTCTGTCTCCCTTCACTTCCACTCTGGCTGTTCTGCTGTCTCCCCTCCTTCCATGCGGTGCGATCAATAGGCTATGCTGCCACCCAGACAAAACCAAAAACCGACGCACAGCTACGAATGTCAGGAGAAAGAGAGCATAGCGCTCTTTTGCTTTTTATATAACTGATAAGCTTACTTTGGAGGGAGGACACACAAGATAACCAATGTTTGACAACTTGGAGTGGAAAAACCAATCAAAGAAAAGGTATCAGCCATATCAAAATATGAATTCTTTGATCACGTTACGCCTGCAATTCTTTATGCTATCGGTTCTTTGGGACATTCCTGAAGCTGGTGTTATTAGCTGTGCTGACTGAGCTGGGTGCACAGAGACTCCCCCTGCTGCCCTAATGCAAAAACATGTCAGCAAACTTTTTTCAAGGACAAATGCAGACAGAGGGAATGCCTGTGGCCTAGTGGCATTGCTATCAATT